TTATTTTTGTGTGGATCTGTGTCTCTCTCGTGTGCATAAGGAAGGAGCAACAGTGTCGCAGAACTGTGTGCAGAGTGCAACAAAGAGTCCTGTGGCACCTTATAGACTAACAGATGTCTTGGAGCATGAGCTTTCGTGGGTGAATACCCACTTCGTCAGACGCATGTAATGGAAATTTCCAGAGGCAGGTATAAATATGCAGGCAAGAATCAGTCTGGAGATAACGAGGTTAGTTCAATCAGGGAGGGTGAAGCCCTCTTCTAGTAGTTGAGGGCCTCACCCTCAACTGTGTGCAGAGTGTCTGTGTTATGTGCTATACCTACCATGTGCCCCTGAGGGAGTTCGTGGGGAGCTGGAAGGCGCACACCTTTGGTGGGAGTCTGGGAGAGGTGTGATTAAGTAATTGGGGTGTCTTGGGGTCAGCACTGGAGGCGGGGGCCTAAGGCAGGTGGGCTGAGGGGCTCTGTTTCTGTGAAGGGGTGATGGACTGAGGGTTGGAGCCCAGACAATGTGCCACAGAGGCCAAGGGAGGAAACCCGGTAGCAGCCTGCTGAGACCCAGGGAAGATTAAAATACCCAGGGATCCAGAGGCTGGGATTCCCCCCAGGGCAGCCTGGCGAGTGGCCAGGGAGGGGAACGCCACTGGATCTGTGACAGGGGCACCTGCTCCAAACCTGCCTTATCAAGGGGCTTGGCTGGCTTGGGGGAGCAGGGAATGGAGGACAGGGCCTTTCCCCTCTAGGGTGCACCAGCTCCAGTCCAGCGTGAGGCTGGGAGATGGCTGCCTGCCTCACCAGGGACCAGGATCTGGAATGTAGTTTCCTTCTGTATCTGATGGCTCGGCCAATTGACATTTGCTGCTCAGATTCTAAAAAGCCACGTGGTTTCAGGGACGAATCAACGAAGGGAACTGAAAGTGAGATACTAACCTTACATGATGCAGGTTCCGGATTCAGAGTGGCTCAGGCTGTGAGTGGGTCAAAGGCTAGTGGGTGCTGGGTCCAATCTGGCCCCAGGGTGGGGAACTGGCTAGCTCAGGGGGGTAGAGAATGGGATCTGGGCCCTTTCTTCTCTAGGGGGTGCCAGCTCCAATCCAGCCTGAAGTTGGGTGGACGGTTGGCTCAGGGATATGGGGAATGGGATACAGGGTCTTTCCTTTCTCAGGGGAGGCAGCTCCAATCCAGTCCGAGGTTGCAGGGACTGGCTGGCTCAGTGGGTTGGGAAATGGGCTATGGGGTATTCCTTTGCTAGGGCAGTGGGTCTGATCCATGCCCAGCTAGTTAATGGTACTTCTTGGATGCTGAGGGATAGCTCAGTTGGGGGGAGGGATAGCTCAGTGGTTTGAGCATTGACCTCCTAAACCTGGGGCTTGAGAAAAAGCAACAAATATCACAAGACAATATTATTGATCTGGGGCTTCTCGGGAGTGTTTGTTAAACACGCCTGTGTCTAACGCCTTCAGAGAGCGGCCATACCCAAGTGTCAGGCATGTGAGCAATGCTTTTATTTCTTTAACAACATGTGGTTCAGCATGACCCAGGCAATCTGTTAATGCTGATGCAAGCTTGTAGATCTGCCCGCAGAATCTCTCTGGCTAGATTTATACACACACTCGCCAAGAATGTCCCAGATGTCCAAAACCACTAGTTGCTTTAACATTCATGTTGCTAAATTGGAGACGGGGCAGAGAAGAGCCACAAAAATTATTTGAGGGCTGGAAAAAATGCCTGCCAGTGAGAGCTTTAAAGAGTTCAATCGTTTAGCTTCAGTTGAGAGGAGACTTGATTACTTTGTATAAGTATCTTCATGGGGAGAAAATCTCAGCTCTTTAACCTAGCAGAGAAAGGCAGGACAAGACCTAATGGCTGGAAGTTAAAGCCAGACACATTCCAATTAGAAATAAGACACCAATGTTTCACAGTGCAAGTGATTAACCATTGGAACAAACTCCCAAGGGCAGTGATCCCAAAGGAGAAAGCAGGTGGGAAGCTAAGCCAGCTCCAGTAGAGATCAGCTCCCATGGATCTTGCTCAGGTCTTATGGCCCAGGCCAACGTTTGCATTATTCGTCCTTCTGCTTGTTGTCAGAGAGCAATGCGCCAATGAATGTAGCAACTGCCACAAGGGCTCCTACGCCCACGATCCCCACCGCCCCTGCAACCATGGCATCTTGGACCTGCAAAGCACAGAAGAGACCTGGTCAGGAGGCCCTGGATAGCCCAGGGGGTTTAAACGGAGCAGTAAATGGCACAAGAACCGTGCTGAGTTCAAGTCCATTTTAGAGCATCCGGCCTCCACAGTTCACCGGAGGCAGCGTAACTGTGGTTCAGGAGTTGTGCTGAGTCTCTGGACCCCTTTGTTCTATTCCAGCCTCTACTCCTGGCCCTGGGCAAATCCCTTCCCTGCTCTGGGCCTCCCTTCCCATCCTTTGTCTAGTTGGATTGTAAACTCATCAGGGCAGGGGCTGTCTCTCGCTGTGCAAAGCCCAGCACAACAGGACCCCTATCTCTGATGGGGTCTGTGTGTAACACCGACAGACCCCGGTCGGTGGGATTGAACCTGGGACTTCTGGATCTTAGTGCATGGGCCTCTACTGCATGAGCTAAAATGCAACTGGCCCTTAGCTAAGGCTGTAGAGCAGACTCATTAATCTCTAAGTGGGCTCAGTACCACTAGATTGGACAGAGGTGTGTGGGTTACATGTGCACACATAGCAGGGCCTCATATGGCATGTGTGTGTACACACATACACACACATACAGCAGGGCCCACTCCACCCCCACCTGGTCACTCCTAGCCACACCGTAGCGCAGCTTGGTGACGAAGTGCTCGCAATTCTCACTGGTGACACTGTATGGCATCGTCTTCCCCACCAGAGACTCTGCTTCCTGGATAATCTGGTCCACACTCCGACGGGGCAGCTTCCCATCGTGCTTGTTGTTGACCCGGTAGTCATCGCCTTTCACCACTGCCCAGAGGGGTTCCTTTCTCACCACGGCTTTATCAGCCACCACGGACATCAGGCTGGAGAATCCAGTTTTGGTGAACTCACCTGGGGATCCGGGACAGACACATGGACCATGTGCTAACAGATCTGGATTGACTTTGGGATTTCCATCCCTCCCTGGAGTCTCCATCACTTGGGATGTGTCTTAGCCCAAGCCAAGCAGGGCACATGTCCCAGCTACAGGGCTGGCTGCACCTTTGTCCCCAGTGCACCCTTTCAGGTGTCAGGCCTTGTGCATTCTGGGAGTGGAATCATATGATTCTCCTGCTCTTAAGCGGAGCCCTGGGCTATGGCATCCTGTTGATCAGCCCTGCCTACTCTGCAGGTCCAACTGGGATTGGCACCTGCAGTTCTTCCCTTTGGGAACCTGTGACCTGTGGTGTGTGCAGTGACCAGACACTGCCTTACACCAAAGTAGTGTTTAGTCTTAACAGTGGGAACAAAGTGTAACATACAAGAAAGGATATTAAAGCAATAAACCAGCTATAGGAGCTCAAGCCCTGAAGGCTTAATGATCTTAGACCCAGAGGTCCAGGCTTGATCCCCAATACCGACAATCTGGCCCCAGGCATAGCCTTACATCAGCACACACACATTGGCAGAGCCAGGCAGGGTGCTTACTGGGGGGAGCTAAGTGGATGACATATCCGTAGCCCACGTAGAGGGCCCAGTGCCGGTATCCGAAGCGGGAAATCTCAATCAGGTCCCCAGGCTTCGGTTCCACCTGTTGGAGCAAAATCAGCATGACTAATGAGGGGGGAGGAGCAAACCTACCTACCTACCTACCCCTCCGCCACGGAATCCCTCACCGCAGAGACTTTGAGAACATAGCAGGGTGGCCGATCCAACTGCTGGAGGGGATTGACCTGGCAAACACCAGAGCCCAAAGCACCAGCTTCTGTCCCTGGAGCTAAGGAACCCAGCTGGTCCAGTTTGCAGCTGTAGCAGACTCTAGCTCAGATGCGGAGAAGGTGTGTAATGTACAATGAAGATGGTGCAATTAACCAGAGAGAGGGGTTTGCCACTAAAATGGGCAGAAGGGCGACTGGTTCAGAGGCCAGGGGTCTAAGAGAAGCTGGAGAAAGGATTTGGCTCAGGCATGTGGGTTATGAGGGGCACTTCTCCCTGCCACTAGGAGGCATCTGGGGCAGGGTCTCCAGATGGGCTATTTGTTCATGCATCACTAAGGTCTATGGCATACTGGGTGCAGAATCTCAGGGCAGACCTGAGATTGCGCCCTCTTCTGGCTGTGCTGGGGTTGGGAACTTGGTCAGGATTTTCCTTTGCCGCTGGGAATAACAACCAGGGGAAATTTTCTATCAAAATGTTTTTTTTTCAAAAGGAACATTGGGGTTTTGACATGACATAAAAATGTTCATGGAAAGATCCGTTTTCATTTTTAAAAATCATATTTCCTACAAAAGACCAAAAAGTGATTTTATTTCAGTGAAAAAGTGAAACTGTTTTGGTTTCATCAGTTTTGGCTAAAAAAAAATCTCTGTTTTGGCCAAAAATATGCAGTTTTCAGCAGTTTTCAGCCAAAAATATTCAACTTTTGGTAGTTTTTGACTGAAAATATGTGATTTAAATATTCAGATTTTGTCAGTTTGGGGCCAAAAATCAGCTAAATATGAGTCAACGGTGTAACGCTGTTGCAAAAAAAGCAAACATTATTCTGGGATGTATTGGCAGTATTGTAAGCAAGACACGAGAAGTAATTCTTTCGCTCTACTCTGCGCTGATTAGGCCTCAGCTGGAGTATTATGTCCAGTTCTGGGGACCACATTTCAGGAAAGATGTGGATAAATTGGAGAAAGTCCAGAGAAGAATGACAAAAATGATTAAAGGTCTAGAAAACATGACCTATGAAGGAAGATTGAAAAAATTGGGTTTGTTTAGTCTGGAGAAGAGAAGACTGAGAGGGCACATGACAATTTTCAAGTACATGAAAGGTTGTTACAAGGAGAAGGGAGAAAATTTGTTGTTCTGTCCTCAGAGGTTAAGAAGATGAAGCAATGGGCTTAAATTGCAGTAAGGGCGGTTTAGGTTGGACATTAGGAAAAACTTCCTAATTGTCAGAGTGGTTAAGCACTGGAATAAATTGCCTAGGGAGGTTGTGAAAACTCCATCATTGGGGATTTTTAAGAGCAGGTTGGACAAACACCTGTCAGGGATTGTCTAGATAAGACTTAGTCCTACCTTGAATGCAGGGGACTGGACTGGATGACCTCTTGAGATCCCTTCCAGTCCTATGATTCTAAGCAACATTTTTCCATCTGCAACTTGCAATTTGTCAAAGTCGAAATGTTCCTTCTTAACAGTGCAAGTAATTAAGTATTGGAACAACTTACCTATGGTCCTGGTGGATTCTCCATGACTGACAATTCTGAACTCAAGATTGGAAGTTTTTTCTAAAACCTCTGCTCTAGGAATTATTTTGGGGGAGTTTGCTGGCCTTTGTTAGACAGGAGGTCAGACTAGATTATCACAATGGTCCCTTCTGGCCTTGGAATCTATGGTTCTATGAATCTATGAATAAAGGACAAGCCCAATACAAGTTAATCTGATATACAAGCCGTTTCAGTAAGTACTTACCCGTTTAAGTGGCATTTTCGTTGAGCTTCAGAAGCAGAATGGCTTATTTTCTCAGAATTTCTATGTTTTAAAGAAATTAAGATTTCAGTTTCAGTTTCCCCTTGACTAATTCAAATGTGTCACCTATGTAAATCCTCAGAAATTGATAAAAGAAACTTAGGTGTTTGCATCGCATCTAAGTAGCATAAATGGACACTGGATTGTTGTGGTTCCGGGGGAACCTGTTTAGCTCATTGCTGGAAAAGAAAAGCTAAAATTAGACCAGAGGTGAGGCAGATTCATTGCCGTAAGCATCATCAAGGAAGGAGAGCGTGGCATTCTGTACTTCAAAGCCACACCCTGAAATCCCCATACTCACGCCTGTCATATAATTGATACGTTTTGCACAAAGTATGCCTTGTGAGGTATCACGTTAAAGGTCTTGATCTGTTGAACATTAATATCCTGTTGGATTGTATGTGAAGTTATGAAGTTTTGCTATGTGTGTGTTACTGAAAAGTGTTGTGAGATTGGGAACACCCACAACCAGCCTTTCAGGTACAACAATGGAGTAGCCAGACGTGCTGATGCCCATTAAAGAGATTCCACAATCCCAGGAGCTGTATACAATGGAGACTTCTCAGAAAAATCACGTAGAGGATAGAGAATGCTTGACCAATGGGGGCGGACATCCATGTCACAACCATAGATCTTTCCAACAAGCTGGAAGAAACTATAAAGAGGGGAAGAGACATCATGGCTTGGCCTCACTCACCCCCCACTCACCACCTGTAAGAAAGATCTGGAGGACAAAGACTTTGAACTGGGGAGGGTGGTCGCAGGCTGGCGGAGAGTTCCAGCCTGTGTATTGAAGATCTGTGACATGTTGTACCATCTATCGGGGTGAGACACTGCTCGATTCAAATCTGTGTAGTTTATAGAACTTAGACTGTGAATTTATTTTATTTCTTAGGTAACCAACTTTGATCTCTATGCTTGCTACTTATGAGCACTTAAAATCGATCTTTCTGTAGTTAACAAATATGTTTTCTATTTTACCTAAAACTGTGTTTTGATTGAAGTGCTTGGGAAATCTCAGCTCAGTTTACAAAGGCTAGTGAAAAGAACAGGAGTACTTGTGGCACCTTAGAGACTAACAGATTTATTAGAGCATAAGCTTTCGTGGACTACAGCCCACTTCTTCGGATGCATATAGAATGGAACCAGGTTCCACGAAAGCTTATGCTCTAATAAATCTGTTAGTCTCTAAGGTGCCACAAGTACTCCTGTTCTTTTTGCGGATACAGACTAACACGGCTGCTACTCTGAAAGGCTAGTGAGTGTCCTCTCCACATGGGGGAGGGGCTGGACGGGGGGTGGACTGGGTAATGAACTTACACTGGTCAGGCTTCTGACCAGGGCAGGACGGTACAGTTCTGGGGTACAAGGCTGGGGAGCTGGTGGGAATTGGCTGGAACCTCCCTGTTGATGGTACATGACTGCCTGGGAGAAGCATTCATGTAACTCTGTTGGGTGTGTCCCTGTCTGTGGATGGCTGTATAGGTGCAGTACCGGCCAGAGATTTGTAACTTGATACAGCATCACAGTATGTGAGGATACCCCAGGTTGGAGGGACAGAGGGCTCTGCTAGCAGTCCCACAGGCCAGGCGGCACCCCAGGAACCCCATCACAGAGGGGAAATGTTTAGGGTGTTGCAAGGGGAAATAGCCAGAAATAATATAAATGGATTGTAAAACCGAAATGTTAAAGTATTGCCACAACCCTGCATGTTCAAACTCAGGAGTGCAGCTGCAAGAGATATTATGAGATTGGTTAAAAAATCGGGATTTTCCTTTGCCGCTGGGAATAAGAACCGGGGGAAATTTTCCATCAAAACGTTTTTTTCAAAAGGAAAATTGGGGTTTTGACATAAAGTAAATGGTCATGGAAAGAAATGTTCGTTTTCAAGTTTTCATTTTTAAAAATCATATTTCCTACACAAGATCAAAAAGTGATCTTATTTCTGTGAAAAAGTGAAACTGTTTTGGTTTCATCAGTTTTGGCTGAAAAAAATCTCTGTTTTGGTCAAAAATATGCAGTTTTCAGCCAAAAATATTCAACTTTTGGTAGTTTCTGACTGAAAATATATGATTTCAATATTCAGATTTTGGCAGTTTGGGGCCAAAAAATCAGTTTCTGGCAATTTTGATTCAAAACTAGGGTGATCATATTTTCCCAAAGGGAAAACAGGACACTGCATGGGGCCAGCCCAAGCCCCTCCTCTCCCCCACATGCATGGGACCGGCCTGAGCTCCCCCACCACCACCCACCCGTCCAGGGCTGGCTCGGCCCAAGCTGCTCTCCTGAGCCCTCTCTCCCACGCAGGGCTGGCAGTGCCGCTTGCCCCCACTCCATCCCACACGTTCTTCCACAACCTACTAGGGGTCACACCCCACTTTTTTGGCAAAACTGTGCGTTTGTCCCGTTAGCTCTTGCCAACTTTTAAGCCGGGACTGTCCCGGCCAAAATAGGACGTATGGTCACCCTATTCAAAACTGTTCCGTTTTTGGCCAAAATTATTCAGTGTTTGGCTAAAAATACAGTTTCTAACCAAAAATATTCAATTTTCAGCAGATTTTGATTAAAAAAAGCTTGATGTTTCATCAAAAACTTCCCATGAGGGGAAAAAGAAACCCAAACATTTTCCAGCCAACCCCAGTTGAGCTCCCAAGGTCTGTCTGCCTCATACCTCCCACTGCAGGATACACTTGCTATCTGTTGTCACAGTGTTGAGCAAATCAGTCCAGAATTTAAGAGGGTCCCGCAGATCAAGAGGTCTGGATGCCTGGCAACTAAGCAACCAAATCCTTCTTGCTCTGCAGCTGGTTTGTGAGGGAAGAGTGCGGTTCTGTAATTGACGAAGGGAGATATCCTTCCCTGATTTCACTCCATTGAGAGGAAATGAGTCCAGATGCAGTGTAACAGGACCTCCTCTTCCTGCCAGCCAGCCTGGCCAAGACTATATTTAACTCAAGGACACATGCCAAGAGCTGACCTTCATGGGGGACCCAGTAATCGGACGCCCAGATGCTACCCTGCACCCCTTGAATACACCCCACAAATGAGCAAGTGATACTAGGACTGGCATGGCCCAGCTGGGACAGACAAACAGCTGCAGAGATCAGCTGAGCTAAAAGGTTTGACTGACAGTTCTTGGGGCTTTTTTTGCAGCTGGTACTTACCAAGGAAGGAGGCATGATCGTCTTGGCGTGGCGGCGGGGGGCTGGGTCCTCAGCCTGCCTTGTGGGGCAAGGGGCCGAGAGAGGAACACTCCTCTTTAACGAGCGTAAGTGGTTGCAGATGGGTGTCAGAGCCACAGACAGCCCCGTTACTCACTGGAGTTCACACTGCAGGGCAGCGGGGTGTTGACGTGGGCAGGACAGTCTGGGGGAGGGATCAGGTGACGCCAGCTCTGCCAAGGAAAGAAAGAGCAGCTAACCCAGGCTGGTCCGCTATTGCTGCTGACTTGGAGGGGAAGGGAGAAGACTCATAGAAAAGGACAAACTTAGCTCTGAGCCGGTGCAACTCAGATCCCCAGGGGAATATGCTTTAAGATTCTGCTGTCTGGGGATTTCTGGCTCCCCAGTCTCCCATGCTCCAGCCCACAAGATTGGGATGGAACCCAGCAATTCTGACTCTCAGTTCCTCCCACCTCCCCAAACTACTAGACCCCATTCCCCATTCAGAGCTGGGAATGGAATCCAGGAGCTCTGACGCTGTCCCCCGCTCTAAGCACTGGACACCACTCCCCTCTGTGAGACGAAGAGTAGAACCCAGGGGTCCTGATGCTCTAGCCATGAAACTCACACTCCCTGCCAGAGGCCAAATAGAGCTGGCATGGGAGTGGCTGGAGCTGAGCAGCCCTGGAGTTTAGAGGCTAATAAAAAGATGAGCCCTTGTATATACTCGCATTTCATGCCACCTCATTACTGACTTGCCAGGCCTCATCCCTGGCTTAATTCCAGTGAAGACCTCTGGATGGGGCCACCATGTGAAATCCCATAGCCAGGGCTGATTGGACCTAGAGACAAAGTGACTCCATGTTCACAAACCCGACCATTGGCAGATGAGATGTCACTCAGCGATGCCAGCATTCAGCCCATACACTCCTAGCTACACTCAATTCCCCCCCTCAGAGCAATTGGCTCAGGCTCTTTGCAGACTCAAGCAGCTGTCGCGTCAGTTACACTCAGTCCATATATTTAGGTTTGTTTCTCAACCAGGACACCTCCAGACTTTGGCAAGCAAGACAGCAAGTGGAGAGAGGTGACATTGCACTACACCGCTGCGTGCAATCCCAGTCTGAGCCCTGCATGCCACAAGAAGCCCACATTGCATGTGCACATGCACACACTCATCCCTTCCAGTCCTGTGTCTCTCTGCTATTGGCGAGGGCGAGACAGTCCGGCAACTCTAACCCTGGTGTAAGCCTGGCGTTCCTGCACTGCGCAATCTTATTGAGATGCATGAGCCAAGCTCGGGGCTGCTGCCACATTCCCTTGGCTGTTTGCTTTGTATCACCCTGGCACAAGGCAGCTGGCAGGTCCAGCACCCCTGGGCCAAAACAGGTGCTCCTGTTTAGCCAATTAAGAGGGCAGGACAGCACCTGGAGGCTATAAAGACTCAGGTGAGAAGTGAGAAAACAACCCAGGAGTCCTGACTTCTAGACCATTGTTGGTGAACCAAAAGATTCCCTGACACAGAACCTATTGGTTACAAAATCCCCACAACTGCTACTGGAGAAAAAATAGAACTAGAACAGATAGAACTGCCCCAGAGCTGCTGGACAAACGGTTCCCAGGATTGGCCATCCTGTGTTAAACCCCCCCGCCCGAGCTGTATCACTTGCTTGCTTTAGACCCTCTTGCAGTACCTTGCCCTCAGTACTTACAGGGATGAGAGATGTCTCTTGCTTGGGCTGGAATCGGATGTCCTTGGCTTTCCTGACTGTGCTTTCCACACCCTCTTGTCAGCTTGCCGTTTCATTCTGCCACTGGATTTATCCAAGGCAAATACCACGTGGGTTGGATATTCAGGGCTTGGATTCCAGCCTATGGGAAGGTCATGTACGTCTATGCTGCTGACTCTACCTGTGTCCAAATTGAAGTTGTGCCCAAACCCACCTATTGTCCACACTCAACCCCCTGAAGCGCATGCTGGGGGCCAGTAGGTGTTGAGCAAGCAAGCTCACCTGAGGGATATGGGTAGATGCTCGGGTTAGCTGAGGCCTACCCTATACCTGCCCCACTCTTCAATGTGGATGTGTTGGAGGGGCAGGTACCAGGTATCAAATTTAAATAGTCCTCCACTAGCATTCCCACAATGCACTGTACCCATATCTTCTGCCCTCCAATCTATAAAGTTTGAGCTGAGTGAGTAGGCTTGAGAAGGATACCAGAATTTTAATCAATAGCTGGGTCAAGTCTGATTTCACATGGAGTAGCAGGAACACCCACCTCTATGCTTACACTTCATAAGAACATCGGCCATACTGGGTCACACCGGTGGCCCATCTAGCCCAGTATTCTTTCTCTGACAGTGGACAGTGCCAAAAGCTTCAGAGGGAAGGAACGGAGCTGGGCAATTATCAAGTCCCAGCTTCTGGTGGTTGGAGGTTTAAGGACCCTCAGAGCATGGGGTTGCATCCCTGACCATCTTGGCTAACAGCCATTGGTGGACCTATCTTCCATGAACTTATCTAATACCCTTTTGAACTCAGTTATAGTTTTGGTCTTCTTAAAATCCCCAGGCAATGAGTTCCACTGGTTGACTGTCCGTTGTGTAAAAAAGTACTTTCCTTTGTTTTAAACGTGCTGCCTATTAATGTCATAGGTGACCCCAGTTGTAGTGTTCTGTAAAGGGGTAAATAGCACTTCCTATTCACTTTCCCCATACCATACATGATATTATAACCCTCTATCGGCACTGAGACAAAGCCAACCTGGCCATTACCAATGGTTGGCTCTTTGGGGTCCTGTGTGGAATGGCTGGAACTGAGCTGATGTGTCATTCTCCAGTTATCGCATTCCAGACAAACAGGAAAAAAGCCAAGTTGCATGTTAGCGAGCATGAGATGCTCTGATATCGTGGGCCTAGGTCAGCACCTAAGAAGGTTCTGCAACTAACACAAGGCTAAGCTACAATGTTCCGTTGTATCCTGAATATGTTTGAAGCATGATCAGGAGCTGCTACCCACACAGCCATACTTTACAGGTGTGGAGGAAGGGGGCAGAGCAGGGGGATTGGTATTTGATGCCAAAGTTCCCAGCTTAGATCCCCTGTTGCAGTTTTTAGCCCCAATGGTCGCTGGTACAATTCCTACTGGATACTCCTGGGGGAATTCTGTGCCACCACGCAGTGCAGAATTGTGCAGAAATTAACGTTGGGCGTGCAGAATTTCCTTCCCCCTCCTCCAGAAATGGGCTGCAGAGATTTTGGCCGCCACTAGGGGCCGCTGGCCCCAGCAGAGCCCATCTCGCAAATAGAATACAAGACCAGGGGGAGGGGGAGGCAACTGGAGGGTTTCCAGCAGCTGCAGTTCCCAGCATGCCCTGAAGGAAGGAGGTGGCAGTGCACAGGAAACTCTTTGCAAGCTCAGGACCCAACATCAGCCTGTTTCTCCTTCTGAATTCGGGGGTCAGGGAGGGAACTGCAGCTGGACTCTGGGGGAAAAGGAATGTGAGTGTCTGGGCTGGGGGGGCCATGGCTGGGCTCGGGGGAGGGGGGGTTGTTTGTGTCACTGTATTGTTTACAGACATACTTGCTGACAGGTATTTTGAAATAAATTACCAAAATAATTGAAACTGGCATGATTATATAGTGTTATTTTGATCAATAAAATTTGCAGAATTTTTCAGACTTTTTAATTTTTTGGCACAGAATTCCACCAGGAGTAAAATTGGAGGCGGTGATTATTGTTTTAATTGATTGAAAATCACAGAACTGGCATGTGTCGATACAAACCCCAATCCGTTCACCCCATGGAACACAGCAGCACCCTGGCAAAAGCCCTGTACCTCACTGCCTCCCTCTAGTGGTTAGACCATGTATGGAGCAGGAAGAGATGGCAGTGTTGCAGGTGCTAGGAGGTGCTTGTTGTTTGTGCTGACAGGCTGTGGGTGGGACTGACCAAAGCTGAGCTGCTAAGCCTAACCATGCCAGCTGATATCTGCTTGCTGGGCTTGGGCTAAGGGGCTGTTTAACTGTGGTGTAGATATTCGGGCTGGAGCCCAGGCTCTAGGACTCTACAAGGCGGAAAGGTCCCAGAACTCGGGCTGCAGTCCGAGCTGGACACCTACACCACAATTAACCTGAACCCTAGTCAGCTGGCACAGGCCAGCTGCAGGTTTTAAATTGCAATGTAAATATACCCCTCCAGAGCTCTTCCTGGACCATGACCTCTGGCTTGATGTCTAGGGAGTCCATCCTGGATGTACAAATGTGGTCACCCCGCTTCAAAGAAGATGAATCCAAACTGGCCCAGGTGCAGAGAAGGGCTCCTAGGCTGCTGAGGGGATTGGCGAGCTGATCTTTTGAAAGGAGACTGAATGAGCTGGGCTTTGTTTGGCCTGGCCGGGCAAAGGCTGAGAGGGCTCTGATTGCTCTCTCTCTAAATACACCATGGAGGTAACACCAGTTCTGGAACTGCCTCCGAGTAGGAGGGGTGTTGGGGAAACAACACAACTAGTTGGCAGCCGGAGTTGGATAAATTTCTGACCGGGGTTCTATGACGGGGTTGGCTGCTGTGCCAGCGGAGACTGGACTCAGTGACCCACTGTAGCCTGATCTATGAATTGTAAATTAATGATATTGATTACTTACAAATTCCCAGTTATCCCTCTAAGTGTGAAAAGTTCTTGTCCCAAGATCAGGCCCAGTATTAGTAAAATGACTGTTTAGTTGGGAACCCTGATGTGCACAGTTGCAACTTTCACACTTTGTGAACCTTTCTGTATTTACAGTAGTTTATTAAGACATTTAGCAAAGTCAGAAACCCTCTAACCCAGCAGGGTAGATCGAGATACTACAGAATGTCCATCTGAATGTCCATCTCCTCACACCATCCCTTGCAGAACAACCATAAATGTTAGCCATTATCTTCCTCGTCACCTTCCTCCTCTTCACCAGAGGCCATCATTCTGGCATCTCCCATGGGTTACAGCTCTCTCTCTCCTGCCCATATGTTGCGCTGATGCCACTATGTCTAATGCATATTCAGTAGGGGTTTCTCCCCTAGTCCTTATTTGTATTTCCTCACCCTATCAATGTTGCGGTGCCCTTCTCCTATAGGTTAGTACATTAAGGATCTCAACTTATTATCATATCCATCAATTCATTGCCATGGCCCTCTTGTGGTCAGACATCTGCAGATGTTCCCGTCCTAAAATATCCCAAAAGCTGATGTTAGCTCACGTTTCTGTGGTTGGCTGGTGTCGTTATGGACAAACTTCCCCTTAAACACCATTCACAGTTTCCCCAAACTTAGGGGTGACCGTTAGGTCATTTATATGTGCCAAAGTTCATAGGCCTCAAGCCTTATGGGAACTGCGGAAGTCAGTGTCTTACAGGAGACAGGCCTGTAGGTTCCTTGCGTTACTGCTGAATACAATAAATTAGGGTTACCATTCGTCCGGATTTACCCGGACATGTCCTCCTTTTTGTGTTAAAAATAGCGTCCGGGGGGGAATTTGTAAATCACTAAAAATGTCCAGGATTTCCCCCCCATGCAGAGCAGAGCGAGCGGCTGGGAGGGCTGCAGGAAAGTCAGCCGCTCGCATGGGGCTCTGGCAGCCAGAGCCCTTCCCCCTGCAGCTTGCCGGGCTGGACTCCGGAGCTGCTGTAGAGCTCCTCCTCCCCGCCCCCCCCTCCCCTGCATTCTGAGCCGGCCGGTCTGCCGGGCCCTTTGCATCGGGCCTCGGCAGCTCCTCCTCCCCTGCAGCCCAGCGCCCCGCTCCGGCAGCACTGTGCAGGGGCAGGGACCGGGTTGTGTGTTGCGCTGGGGAGCGCAGCCACGG